ATTGAAAAGGTACCCCACGGCTTCGGCAAAAATTGGCGCGCAGGGGCATTCCAGGCCCGGCATGGATAGCTGGGCCAAGTACTGGTGGTTTAAGGTATGTCCCTAACGCCAACTCAAAGTAAGATTTTCATGTTCTTTCCGAGTCAAAGAGGCTGACAGAAACATCGGTGAATGGCATCGAATACTCGGGGAACGTTCCATGAATGTTCTAACCACCATCAACACTACCCAGCCCATGTGGGCAAACGGAACCATTGAGTTCGAACTCCGAAGCATGATTGGGGAAACTACACGGGAGTCACAAAAATGAGTTATAATTGCACTATGGGACAAGATACAGTTTCGAACTGCAGTTCAGGCAGTGTATACAACCCAGCTTTCTGGCCAGGTAGGGTGCCCGAACTGCAATTGCAAATTGTGTCTTACCCATTATGATAGTGCAATTATAACTCTTTTTTGTGACTCTACTGAAGTTACTGAGCAGCCGAAAAAAGCTGGGATTTTCTTTATTATTATTATTATTATTATTATTATTATTATTATTATTATTATTATTTAAAGGATAGTAGGATACAATAATAGAAGAAAAAGAAAAAGAAGAAACAAAGGGGGGGGTGGGGGTAGTAGGGCCCAACCCCTTGGTAACCGAAAGTCAACCGTTGAAAAAGCAAACAAAAACACAAAAAGTAAAAAGAAGTACGCATCTGGCCCACAAATACACAGCAAAGAAACACAAAAGCAAAGCTAGAAAAGTGAATGCAAAAACACTTAAAAAAGGGAAAAAATTCAAAAAAAAAAACTTTGAAAAAGTGTATTGAACATATGAAATACACCAAGAGAAGGACAACAGGAATCAAGATCTATGCCAGTCAAACATATAGCCTTTAAAAAAAAAAAAAAAAAAAAAAATCCTGCATCAACAGATAGGACCGGTGATGAGTGCATTCCTTCCTACCTGTCTTGCAGGGGGCTCCATTCTATTGGTGGGGAGCTACACCGGCTGGAAAGCCGGTCCAGCGTCCCCTGAGATACAATCATGATAGTCAAACATACAGCCTAAGTCAATGTCCATACCAAAAGAGGAAAAAAAAAAAAAGAAAGACAATCGTGGGGGGAATGGAGGACACACCATAAGGAGGTGTGGTGGGAGATTGTAGAGCTTCTGAAGAAAGGCGCCAGCTTTCCTGAAATAGATAGAGTCCACTGAGAGCCTACCTAGCCCATGTGTCGGACTGATGTAGTACTTGAATAGACATACTCACACAAGGACGTTTTGGATTGAGCTGTAGGCGTAATTGTGGTGGGATACATCCACGCGAGGCTGTAATTCCGGTCATATACATCCTGGAAAGTCCGAGTGAAAGTATGCCCCAATTGTGGACGAATGGTACATACATGTAATTGTGGCTGAATGATATACAGTACTATACACATGTATCTAAGGATGAGATCGAATCCTTACACAAGCAGAGGCTACCCTGCCTTTTTTTCTCCCTTTACAAAGACAAAAAGGGAAAAGAGAGTCCACTGGGAGCCTTTTTATCCCAGAGCCACTGAGTGTAAAAAGTTACTGAAAATAGTAAAAACGTTTTTTTTTTTTTTTTTTTTTTTTTTTTTTTTTTTTAACAGATGCTCCAGTGTAGTATTCGTGGGGAGCAGCATGTGCTGGGAACCGGGCCCACCCGCGGGAATGCTAAAGGCTAGCATAGTTATGCATAAGAAACCACCAGTACTTCCTGAAGTCGTGCCCATTAACAAGCCACAATTTTAGGAAACGTACAGGCCACTAGAGGAGCGCCCAAATTCATCCGACTAGCAACGTTTCTGCTCTATTTTTTTTTCAGCGGCCGATAGCTGGGCCAAGTACTGGTGGTTTGAACCGCCAGTTACACGCGAGCCAAAGTTGACAAAGCTACCTTCCAAGGCTCGCAAGCCTGCTGCACCTTTTCAAAGTGGCATCCCGCTTTCGCTACCGGGCCATGTCCGAATCGAAATGCTCTTACCTCGTATACCCCGTAAGAGCAGTATTTAGATTTGTGTGAACTTGTGGGTTAAGGCAAGTAAGAATGCTGAAGCCAAAAGTAAGGGAAGGGTATAGCCTAGGGTAGGGTAGCGTACCCCTTTCCTACCTTACCCTATGGTATACCCTTCCTATCCTGGGGTATACCCTTTCTACCCCACGGTATACCCTTTCCTACCCTACCCTAGGGTATACCCTTTCTACCCTAAGGTATATCCTTCCTACCCTAGGGTATACCCTTTCCTACACTACCCTCAGGTAAACCCTTCCTACCTTAGGGTATAACCTTTCCTACCCTACCCTAGGGTATACCCTTCCTACCCCAGGGTAGACGAGCACCATGGTCACACTCTGACTGGTGAAGAAGTAACATCTGAGAGGTTATATCTCACTGCAGCAGGCACGTTGTCCCTGAGCAGGCAATAAATGCAGTTTTTAATCTTTTTTGAAGATTTTTGCCTTTGAACCATTTCTCGGTTTGCGGTTGTCATCCTTGCGCAAGGTTCATGCTAATCTTCTATGTCTCTGTATCGTACCAATCCCTTTAATGGATGTCCCAAGGGGCTGAAAGGACAGTAGTAACTGCATTCTCTCTCTGAGTGCCATGCTGCCAGCCTGAGAGTATACTCACACTATAGGCCCTTATAATCGCAAAATCAGCACCCAGATCAAGTCTTCCTTCTAGGAGGACTCAATCTAACACCTGATTTGCGATTATAAGGGCCTCGTGCGAGTATGCCCTGACACTCCATGAAGTGTCGGAGGTGCAACATTGTTTTGGACCTTGGAATTAATTTAATCACCTCCGAGTCCCCCTCTTTAACCACCTGCTCACCGACAAAGGTCTCAAGGGACTGGTCACATTCATTGCACCTTCATCACTTTATGGACTGGTGACATTCATTGAGCTATCGGTCGAACGCTCTGCCGACGTGACAGGCCCGGTGGTGAAGGTGCGATAAAGGTAACCAGTCCATTCTGGAAGGGCTCCATTGATGGATAGCAGGGTTCTGTGGATGGGTATGGGGGGGGTTTGGTGATGAATGGGATGCCTCTGATGAAGGTGCAATGAATCTAACCAGCATTGTGTCCTCCTCTTTTCTGGTTCCCCTAATTGGGCAACCTCTTGCACGGATTACAAGATAGTAGATACTGGGCACCGACCTTGTTTTTGCATTTTTGAGGAGGAGGGGGGGGCCATTGAGCTTGGTCACCTAGGGTGGGAATCTCTTTTAGTCCATATATTCTCAGCCGAAGCTCGGTAATGACTCCGGTACTTTCAAACCATCAATAAAATCTTCATGTGCGATGCTGGGCCCGGTTCCCAGCAAGTGCTGCTCCCCACAAATAGATTGGAGCTTTGTTTCCAAAAATATATATATGTATTTTTTGGGGTAACTTCAGTAGAGTCCCAGAAACGAGTTATAATTGCACTATGGGGCAAGATAGAGTTTGCAATTGCACTTTGGGCACCCTACCTGGCCAGAAAGCTGGGTTGTATACACATTGCTCGAACTGTAATTTGAAACTGTATCTTGGCCCATAGTGCAATTATAACTCATTTTTTGTGACTCGGGCCTAGTCCCCCTTCCCACCACCACCACCAAAAAAAAGGGGTAACTTCGGCGCAGTCACGAAAACAGTTTTTTTTTTTTTTTTTTTTTTAATTTTATTTTAAGAAAGGCCAAAACAGTTTGTAATTGCACTTCAGGCAATCCCACGAATACAACACACCCCCACGCGACCCCACCGGACCCGAAACGTAGGTCATATACATTCAGCATTTAATTTACGGGCCCTTTTGCCTCAAGTGCAATTACAAACTCAAACCCTGACTGCGCCGTAGTTTTCTCAAAAAAAAAAGGAGGAGGGAGCTATCTCAAGGCTGTATGGTCCTGTCAGCAACCGAGTGCACCACACTCGAACTCAGGCGCAAACTCAAATCCCCAAGGCGACCTGCCCGGAGGCAGTCCATGCACCACTGTCGCCCGGAAGGGATGCCAGTTGTGCCTTCTAGGAGAGTAGCGTGCCCTGGCTTCAGCCCCGAACTCTCCGCACCTCCGCCCTCCCTCTCTTCCCTCTCTTCCCCCTGCCCAATCTCCCATAGACCCACACAACCTGGGGCGCTCAAGTGGCCATGTCGGTCGACACCCCCCCCCCCCACACACACCCGGGGAGTGCGGGGCCAGGATCTGAAGGGCCAGCGAGGTCGATCCTGTAATTTTGACCACAATGGCACGGTGCTCTACCACTGAGCATCAGACCACTTGCATGCCCGGTGTGCCACTGGCCTAAATCTGGCCTACGTTGGTAGGTTGATGGAGTGCGCAAGGTTGTGGGTCCGAAGGCTGGAGCCTGCAACATTATACAACAATGCCCAGTTGACATAGGTGCTCTATCCACTGAGCTAAGGCCCGTAGACAAGGCCTGGCTTGACGGAACTCCAGGAGAGAGAAAATGGACTTTGACAGACAATTGTATCAGATTTTCACCAGCGTATTAGGAGGTTGAACCTCAAGCATCACTTGATTGATTTCTTCCCCATACTTCCTGGCCGAAGGACAGAGACACCCTTTTTTTCCTTCTCTCTTTTCTTTCCTCTTTTTCTCTTCCTTTCTTTCACTCTTGACACAGAAGTAATCAACTTACGCGCACCACCTTCAAGTTGGAATCATCCTGAGCTCGCAGCCTGTCCAGTTCATACAGACCCTTAACAAGAACCGCAGCGGGCCAAGGACATGTGGTCTATCACAAACATAAAACCCACTCACATGTGTAATATGTGTGTGCATGTGTGTGTGTGTGTGTGTGTGTGTGTGTGTGTGTGTGTGCTGTCTCTTATACACATCTAGATGTGTATAAGAGACAGGAGTGAGAGAGAGAGAGAGAGAGAGAGAGAGAGAGAGAGAGAGAGAGAGAGAGAGAGAGAGAGAGAGAGACGGGTGGAAGATGCCAAAGTTTCAGACAGAGTATTACGTACCGCTCCAAATCCGCCTTTTCCGATGATGTTTCTGGGGTTGAAGTTGTCCGTGGCCACCTCCATCTCCTCGAAGCTGAACTCCAGCGATTCCTGCAGCATGGCAGAGACATGGTCCCTGCTCTTCCCGGTGCGGGAGGCTCTGAGGTGCTCCTTGACTCTCGCGAAACTGGTGGACTGTTGTCGTCTGCGGAACGACCGTGCTGTCGACGACCGACCTGACGACCCGCCCGACCGCGTCGACCGGGATCCCGGCGACGGGGCCGACCGTGGGGACATTGCAGGCCCTGCTGGGATCTCGGCCGACCCCTCCCTTTCCTCCTTTCGGATCACATCCACTCCGAACAACTCCACGGCCAGCCTCGCCCCCATCTCCCTTTGACTCTTCAGACTCTCTCTGTCCGATCCCGAGCCCAGTCCTCTCAGATACCGGTTTCTTCTCATGATCAGGCACCCTGCCAGGCCCACACAGCTCAGTAGGAGGGCCAAGGTCAGCGCCCCACCCGCTGCCCCTATCCAAATGCTGCTAGAGAACGGTCTCCCCTGCTCCGTTTTGCCCTCAGGAGCTGGGGGCCTGCCGTTAGTTCCGTTAGGCGTGCACTGCTCATAAGGACCTCTCCGCTTAGCAGCAGACGGCGACGGCTGGTCACCGGTAGTCTTACCGTTACCGTCACCTTTACCGTTAGTTAGTTGAACGGTCAGTCGAGAGATAGACGGACTCGATCCCGGGTCTCTAGGCAAACAGCCGAACAACCCATCCCACTGCTCCTCGTTTGGCTTCGGGAATTCGTCGCCGGAGCCGACGGCATGACATGTGGCAAAGTCCACAAGCGTGAATGAGGCCCCACCATCTAGAAACAACACCCTTCTGCTCTCGGAGCACCTGGTGCCCATCTTCTCCGTGCACTGCAGCACTGCATTGACTGTACTCAGCGATGGCGTCTCTGGGTCTGAGTTCCGTAGTGCCAATGGATTGCCTTGGCCTTCGCTTGATTGGCCCGAACGCATGGTTAAGATTTTCCCGGTATGTCGTTGAACACCCGTCTGGCGCCGAGTTGCGAAATTGACCCTGAGGAAGCTGTCCTCTTTGAAAAAAACCACCTCCCCTTGATAGCAGAAGGCGCAGTGGGTGGGTTGAGTGGTGGCATTGTTGTCAGTCAGAGGAGCAGGGCCAGGTTCTGATTGTGAACCTGGTCCTAATTCTGGTCCAGAAGTGGAACCAGGAACGTCCGGATTGTCCAGCGAGAAGGCGTCCAGGTTCGGGCAAAGCATGGCAGCCCCGATATCTCTGTCGAACTCCATTTTGAAACCGTGTTTGATCTTCCTCGGGCCAACGAGAAGAGGAGAGGAGGAGGAGGAGGAGGAGGGGTCGTCTTCATCCGGACCATCGCCATCAGCAGCACTACTAGGACCAGGAGCAGGAGCAGCACCATCATCATCATTACCAAGAGGCATCCCTTGCGTTGACATCAACGGATTTCGAGAAGCAGGCACCCGCGAGAGATCGTAGAGAACGTACTCGTCGCCGGAGAAGAAGAAGACCTGCGAAGCTTCGGTGCAACCGCATGGAGAATCAGAAAGAGGAGGAGGAGAAGGTGAACCGTCGTCGTCGGAGCCGCAGAGGTCCTCCGAACATGCCAACGTGGCATCGATGTGATCGAACGGGATACCGACCAGAAGCTCTCGGAAAGGGCGCCAGCTGGTGACCGTGCGGCTGGAGAGAGGATGCATGAAATACACAGAGTACAAATCTTGGTAGAAGAAGAAGACATGGCCAGCGTTGCAGAAGGTGGAGTCGAAGGTGCACACAAACACGGCATCCGGACCTGGAATGCTCCTCGGCAGAGAGATGTCTGGCGCTGCAGGGGAAGCAGCAGCAGCAGCGGTGGCAGGGGCAGATGCATTAGTAGTAGCAGATGGAAGGAGCGGGGACGGTTCGGATTCTCCCAGAGGCATCGAGGCGGACGAGGAGGAGGAGGAGGAGGAGGAGGAGGAGGAGGAGGAGGAGGGGGAGGAGAGAGAAGCAGATTGGTCATCAGACTGCAGCTCTCTGCGAGTACTCGAAGAATCTTCATTGCGATCGGAATTCAGGACAGAAGACACGTGTGCTCTTGATCTTATCCACCTGGGATGGCTGTCCGACGTGGCAGGCATCGAGGCAGAGGAGGAGGAGGGGGAGGAGGAGGAGGAGGAGGAGGGGGAGAAAGTAACAGACTGGTCATCCGACAGCAGCTCCTTGCGAATGTCCCAAGAATGGTCATGATTCAAATTGGAATTTTGGGAAGAAGACACGACGTTTCGCCCTGGCCTCATCCACATCGTATGATCGGCTGACGTGGCAGGCATCGAGGAGGGGGAGGAGTAGGAGGAGGAGGAAGAAGAGGAGGAGAAGGAAGACGACGACGACGACGGGAAGAAAGTAACAGATTGGTCATCAGACAGCAGCTCCTTGGGAACATTCCAAGAATGATCACCATTGAAATCGGCGTTTTGGGAAGAAGACACGACGTTTCGTCCTGGGATTATCGACATCGGATGGCCGGCTGACGTGGCATCATGCATTGCATCCATCTGCTGCAAATTATCCTTATCCATTCGAGAGTGACGGTGAAGGTTTTTTTTCAAATCATCAGTCCTAGAGCGGGAAGAACGTAGTTCTGAGTCCGACAGTGAAGGTGTATCTCGTTCTTTGGCACGTCGAACAGCTGCCACGTGTCTGTCGTGATTACAGTCGACGTGATCGTAGACGGGGATTGCGATCCCGGTCGTCTTCGCCTCCTTCATCGCGATCGCGTTTTCCTTCGGCTGAGGAGATGAGGAGGAGGAGGAGGAGGAGGAGGAGGAGGAGGAGCTCTTCGAGGGGAAGAGAAGAGGGAGGGGAGGAGGAGGGGGTGGGCAATTGCCCCCACGTGGCGTTGCTCTTCCTGCGACGACCGGCTGCCACGTCATCATCATCATCATCACTAGTACGAAGATTGGCAGGCAGAGTGTAATCAAAGCCGCAGAGAACGATCGACGGTGATGGTTGCTGATGGCCGCTGATCTGTCTTCTTTTGATGGGGCATCACTGTAGAAGAAATCAAAAAGGGACTCCGAGATGTTCTGAGCAGGTCCTGATTGCTGATTGCTTTGCTGAGCTGGACGGTGATGATCGATGGCAGCCGATCTGTGTCCGCCTGTCAATGGCTGAAGCCTCCTTCTCCTCGACGTCGCCTGTGTGCCCGGTCCCGACTTGGAGATGGAGGAGCTCGTCGGCGATGCTGATGATGATACAGATGACGTCAACAACATCGTCGTGACGGTCGTCGACATCATCGTTGCCTTGCACCGGCTTTTCGAACAAGGTTTAGCGGAAAACAGGTCTCTTTCCATTGTCGGAGAATGTGTACGACCACCACGCATCGGCAGCCTCGCCAACATTACCACTTTAGGAAACTATACATACATATATATATATATATATATATACAGTACTGACTAACCCTTCAGGAAATGATTGTGGGCCAGTCGAGCACCTCAACCTCATCCGCTTTTATCATCGCCATCTCGGATGCCACATCATTTTCTGCCACGTGGCTGTTTCCTCTCCCATTGTCCGTACTTCAATCAGCACTCTCTCTCTCTCTCTCTCTCTCTCTCTCTCTCTCTCTCTCTCTCTCTCTCTCTCTCTCTCTCTCTCTCTCTCTCTCTCTCTCTCTC